AAAAAAAAAAAAAAAAAGAGCATCCTTCTTTGCATTTTTGTACAGTCATATAGCCTAAACATAACTTACGCTTGCTGAAATTAAGAATCAGGCTTTACAGATTTTAATTAGCATGTAGCTTACAACTACATCTTTTTAAGTGTTCAACCAAATGTATATAGTGATAGGGAAAAGAAAAAAATAACATACCAAATATTAAGTGTCCTAATTACATTAGGATGTCACTTAAAGGACAATTCACTTGTGCGATAGACTGGATAAAAGGTAGAAAATAATCCTTACCTTAATTAAGATGTTTTTAGAGTTTTATGCCTGTTTGCGAAAAATCAGGACACAGGACTAACCACAGCTATTAGGCGCATGAGGTCAGTTCACCGTACTTGTGTGATCAAAAATACAAGGTGTTTAAAAATTGTCATCTAGAGAATCCACAAAAATCTCAACCAATTAGGCCATTCATTAGAGGAACTTACTCTTATAAATAGAACATATAAAACTAGACAAATAGAAAATTGATTTCATTATGCCAAAGAGTATATTCGTATTTTTATCTCATTTGTGTGGAACAGATTCAGTTTAGTAAAGACCTCTCACAGCTAAGAAAATACAATGATTAAGCAGACATTTTGCTTAGCAACCAAATAGGTGGTTTATTAAGGGCAAAATTAATTAAGGGCTTAAGAGTCAACAAAAGTGTTAAGAATGAGGACTTACCAAAAATTAAATGACCCATTTCCAAAACGCTGTATTGTACATACATTAAGGTGAGAAGATTAAAAAGAAAATGAATAAAATCACTTACCTGCCCCTTGATCCACTTCCACGATCACTGAAGAAACTAGATTTCCCTCTTGAATCACTGCGGGACCCAAAACTGCTGTATGCATCCTTATCTTTACTAGAACTCCACCCTGAACTGTCTTTATCGTAGAATCCTTCAATTAAAAAGAAGCAAAAATCCTTTTTAATCTATTCATTAGAAATTTACAATGTCTTATCATGATTCATGTATTTCTGAATTTGAAGTTTTCCAGACTTTATCTTACATGTACAGGACCAAGGGCCAATGGATTCCTATCATGGCACTAGAAGGGTACCAAGACTTAGAGATGGTTTGCCTGTCACACACACACACACACTTTTAAATCCTTAATTCTCTCCACTAGCGAGTACTGTACTGTAAACCAAGTAATCTGACAGAAGAATGAATACCAGACCAAAGGTATTGATCTATGACTATCACAATCCTTCAATTTTATTGGTATGAATGAGTTTACTTGGAGACAGCATTATTTCAATGTTTCTTAGAGGTGGTAGTCATTGAAAACTTTCTTAAGAATGTCAGTATGCTTGGTTTAATACAGTCTTTTCAGTCTTAATAGTAAAAACTACAAGAATGGTACTTTGTACACATGAAATACATAATGCTGCCCAATGACACTATTTCAATGGTCCATCATCTACCATAAGCCTGGTGAGAATGAGGAATATCTGGATAAAAGAAAAACCCTCATCCCTACTACACACTCTTAGTATGGAGAGGTTCTTAGGGTACAGCTAAAATATTCAGACAAGAGGGGATGACCATGGTATTAATTAGCCCAATGATAGGTTTAAAGGGTTAATTAGATTCAGTGACAGCTTATTAAATATTGATTCCTGTCACTGCCAAAGGGTAACAACACTAAGCAAACATGGGAGTCAACACCAACTAGTACATTCTAAGGGATACTGAGACCAACCATGATGATAAAGACAAACTCTGCAATAACTTAAACTAAAAAGAATATAATCAACTAACTGATCTTCTGGTAGAAATAATACAAAGTTTGTACCTATTTACTGCCAAAGACAACGAAGCAAAGTACAAACATATGGAGCAAACCATGAACTTCGACATGCTCCACTCTGCCATTCCTCCCTCCTATTTTACATGCCTATTTTAGCAAATACACAGTACTCAAACAGTTGTACCATAATATGAAACATCTACTAATTTCTAATTATCTATCACATTACAGATTTAATAGAAAAAGATACCAGGTGCTATATTTTACACAAAACAAAATCTTTAAAATGCAGACCAGAGATCATACTCAACTTACGGAGAGTGTGTTCAAAGTAATAACGTGTATTACCTGTTAACTATTTTACAATAATACCCATGTTCATTTTGGCAGCTTTGTAAAACAAGTACGTTGTTATCACCATGCAGCTTGTTTTACACAGTAGGGCACTCACCTTTTTCAAATTGAAACCATGTTAATAATGACTACAAGTATAGATTAAACACAAGACTAGGTAAAGTATACAAAAACCATGCCCTTTGCTTCACAACAGTTTGGCACAGGAAATGCAGAATTTTCCTCTACGTGACATTAAATGAATTCTTCCAAAATTAAGAAGTCCTAGTATTTGAACCAGTCCTGACAGAAACAAAAGATACAGTGTTTACAGACCTCCCCAAGTTGCCTCATTTTCCCTAGGCTTTGACTAACTTCTAAATGCAGCAAGAACTACATCTGTGAAGTTGCTGTTAAGAACTTACCTTTAGTAGCTTCTCTGTTCCTTAAGTGAGGAGGAATATAGCGCCCTTCTAAAAGAAATAATATAAAATTAAAAGCCAAAACCCACCAAGTTAAAGATTCTCATCAAAATTTCTATTAAAATTTTCTTGGAAAACATCTTTTAACCCCTAGCATTCCAAATGCACTACTTACACCTGGAAATTCAAAGGGAAAAAATGAATCTATGGGTTATTACTTTATGAGGAGAACTTTAAAAAAGCTTGGTAAACAAAAAATATGATTTGGAACCTAAGAGCTAAAACCTGCAGACAAATACATTTAACCGGCCACTATGATTTAAGAGAACTGATGTAATAAATCATGTAATTAGCCATTAAGAGGCTTTTTTTGCGTCTAGTTTGTTTAAGTTTAAAAACATACAAAAAAGATGCTGGCAGGGAAACAAAGATTTCAAGAAGCTGGCAGTTTTTAATTTGAGGCTTCAAGGAAAGTCAGTCAACTGTTGTTCTGTACACAAAAACGTAACTTACACTATGCATGAGACAACACTGTTTCTGAAGAGATAGTGCTTCCAACCCTACAGTCCGTACCCACTGTTGTCTTTTTTAACAGATAAGAGATCAGAGTAGGGGCAAAAGTCTGTTCTCCCAAACAGCTCCGCTATCCTAATACTAACCTAACCTTTAACAAGTCTCCCACTAAAATGTTGTTGTTGCTATTTACCGTCAAGTCGGCCCCGACTCATAGCGACCCCTCCTTGGGTTTCCGAGGCAGTATCACTACGGAAGTAGGATTGATTGCCCAACCTTCCTTCCAAGGAGTGGCTGGTGGGTTTGAACCGCCAGCCTTCTGGTTAGCAGTCAAGTGCCTTAGGCACTATGCTA